GAGCTACTCTGGTTATTCAGTTGTGGGGTAGAAATTATTATTATTAGTTAACGTTCCTCCAAGAATGTCCCAGCTCCTTTCTTGTATAGTGACGGTGCTGCCAGGATCACTGGCAGTCCAGCCTGTGTCATGGGCCATGCCGCTTTGGTTTGTATCTCTCAGGACAACATCCAATGATTGGGTCTCTCCAGGGTTGACGCCAACTCAAGCACTGAGACACAGCACCTTTTTGGCCTGTGTAGAAGTTTCCGCTCTCCGTGAGGCGAGCACCCTTGCCCAGTCTGATGGAACCTGCAGGTCCTCAGGCAGGTGGTTCCTGTTTCGCCACCCTGCCTGGCACAATCCTGGTTCGCCCCCACTTGGCAAGCCGCACTTTTTCCTTCTGAGGGCACCAGGCTGCACGGCTTGCCAGTTAGTTTTCTGCTGGTGTCTGAGAATCCGCTTGCTCTCATGTGCACCAAAAGGCCTCCCAAGCCACCTAGCAGGCTTGCTGCCATGACAGCTCTGCTCTGTCCACCACAGTCTGTTCCTGCCAGGGACGCCTGGCCAGCTAACCAGCAGGGCAGTTTCTAAAGCAGTAGATTACCAGGGCCTGAGCACAGCGGGGTTGCCTTTTGTGCTTCTAGAAACAGTGCCGTGTCTCCGACAGCCTGTAACTGCTGAGTGTGGGTGAAGTAGGAGAGGTTACGTAAGGCAAAACAAACTGTCGCAGCTGGCTTTTGTGAGCGGGGTGCTTGTGACTTTTCTACTGTTGCAGTGAAGTGTGTGATCCTTGAGTTTCATGCTAGGTTTGATTGCAGGGAGGCAAGTGGAAGGCAGCGGGAGGAACGGAACTGTTTGTCTTGGGGTCCTCCCTCCCTGAGTCATGGCAGCATCCGGCATTGGCTGTACTGCGCTTTGGTCTGTGGGAAGCAGTGGACTGAAATAGCCAGAGGGCAAAACCTCCTACTTCTGTTTGCACAGATCGTCCCGGGTGCTGTTCCCACGATGGATTTCTGTTCTGCTCTCTCCCTGAAAAGCATATTTTTCCAGAATGCTTGTTCGATTATCTTTTGCTCTAGGAAGAACAGAGGGTCTGCATTCCGTTGGCAGATGGTGTTCATCCCTCACAGTGAGAGTTTTTTCTTCTTGGTCAGGAGCCTGGGGCACTGGCATAAGGCACTGTTCGTTTGATTTCCAGCCTCTGGGTGCATGCTTTCCTGGAATTATAACTCAGTGCTTCTTTGTAATGTTTTGGCTTCCAGTGGAAACTCTGGGAATTTCCCCCAAAGAACCTGTACGTGTATTTTCACATACGCATATGGTGGCTGGAAACTTTGAATCTTCATAGAGCTTCCCTTCCCAAATTGGCTGACATGTTGTGCTTTCACAGTCTCTCCCAAGGGGCAAAAAGGAAAGAAGTTAATGAGGATTAAATCCAATTATTTTAATTGCTAGTTTCTAACTTTAAAATATGATTCTGGGCCCTTTTAATTCAGGGAGTGTGGGCAATTTGTGGTCCTCCAGTAGTTTTGACCTTAGCTAGCAGTTAGCGGTGAGGCATGCTGGAGCTGGGGCCAAAACATCTGCGGGTCTTGTGCACCTCTGGATTCTTTTTGGCGGCACTGCTTCTCTGATGTCTTCTGCTAGCTGCACAACCATTAAGAGCATGGACTATCCTTTTGGGTTACACTGGTAAACCCCCACATTGCAGGGCTTCTTCAGGATGCACAGAAGTGTCTCTGCTGCCAAGCAGCAGACAAAGCGAGGTGGTCATTAATCTCCATAGATCAGCACTGCAGAAAGAGGAAATTGAACGGGGCTTGATTTTGCTCTGCCGTCTGGCAATGCTCTCAATCAATTTGATGGACTGACTGCCGGATGGCACCAGAATCAGTTCCTGAAGACAAAGCAGATAACAAAAGGCTTCCGTAGTTGTGCAGCTGGAGGCCCACGTAGAGCAAAGGAGGGCGGCATCTCCTCGCCCCTTAGCAGGAGCGTCCCGCGTGTCCTGGCTCCCCTGCCCGCCAGCCAGGCTTGTCCCGGGAAGCAGTGTGAGGGGCTCAAGCAGGCCAGTGTCCTCCTTTTTCCAGCCTTCTTTTCTGGCTTTCGACATCAGGTGGTTTCCAGGCGCCATAGTAAGCAGGTCCCTCCCTCCCTCTTTCTCCTTTCTTCCGTCCTTCCGTCCTGGTTTTTGTATGCCATCCCAATTACTAAAAAAGTCGCTGGGCGGCTTACAGAGATTCTTTGAATTCTTTCCCTCGTCTTTTGGTTTAAATCATCATCATCGTCATCATCTTTGGGTTCCTGCGCACTTTAGGGCTCACCCGAGTGTTTCTCAAGTGGACTGGTCCCGTGCCGGTCCCGCCAGCACGCGGTCCACTGAGCTCCCTTCGAGCGCGCAGCTGAGGGCTGGCTGCCGTCGGTGCGCTGCAGCTCCCCTCCACACCCCGGCTGCTCCACCGCATGCACCTGCCTTCCTCTGTGCCAGCCAGCCGGCATTCTGCGTCCCCTGAACATGCTCAGGCCTCACTAGTCTCTTCTGGAGGACTTTCTGTGTACGGTGGGTATTCTGGCGCTCGGTCCTTGCTACAGTCATTCTGAGTTCACCATTAACGGGTGAGGGTAGCTCTCCCTTCCATCCCTGCAGACATTTTAAAACCACTCATCAGGAGAAACTGGGAAACAGCAATGTGGTGTTGTCTACATTTTTTATCGCTACATGTTCTCATCCCTTTCTTCAGCTGCTGTGCTCCATGCAGGCTACCACTCACTCGGCAGATTCCTCTCTTGGTTCATCAGCATTTCATGCCAGTGAGTTACTACTGGGCTATTTGTGAGGAGCTCCCCTTACGAGACGGTTTTCATACCCCTTCACACTGCAGGAGCATTTTTTGCTACTTGAGCGCTCTCGCTTGTGTGTAGGGGATGCAGTTCTGGATAAATTCACATGAATGCAGGAAACTAAACTGGGGAGTGCATGTACATGAATGAGATGGAGGAAAAGACGTTCTCACTGCTGAAAGCAGAAGTTACTATCTCCCAGTTGAAATTCCTGCCATTGGGAGATACTAAGGCAGTGCAGTAGTTAAGAGTGTGGAACTGGGACTCAGGAGGTCCAGGTTCTGGTCCCCACCTGTTCATAGAGTTCGCTGCGTGCCTTTGGATCAGTTGCTTATTCATAGCTTAACGTCCCTTACAGGGTTGTTATGGGGGGCAGGGGGGAAATGGACCACAGGAACATGTACATCACCTTGGAGGAAAAGGCAGGTGATGAATGCAACAAATACATCCATAAAAAAGAGTAATGCTTTGATGATCCTACAGATGTTACTTTCATTTATTTAAAAATTGTTATGTTGCCTTTAAGGGGTAAAACACTATTTGTTGGTATCTTCCAAAGTGAAATACAAATAGTCAAATTACAAGATAAATGAGAACATGGGATTAACTAAAACCTTCTGAGAACAAATAATTCCCAAAAAATCCCACCCTGAAAAATACTAAAAATCAATACACAATGCCAGGTAAAGCCAGCAGAAGCCCACTCCACGTCTCCTTTTAGCCTTCCGGGTTCACTCAGTTGTGCGTATCTGCGATGGGGGTGGGGGGTGGTCCCTGCTGTAAAAGCCCTCCCCCTCGCAGCTACCCATGCAGTTGCGCTTACTGGTGGACGCAAGAGAGGGGCCAGAGATTTCCAACAGTGGAGTTGGGAGGTCGTATTTGTGTCTCGTGAGTCACATGCCGTACCTGGAACCGACCTCAGGGTCTCATCCAGCCTGGCCTGCAGCCGGGTGAGCGAGAGGAAAGCTTGCTCAGTTGTCTTTTAACTAAGACTGGCTTCAAGTTGGTTAATAGCTGATAGTGCCTTCCTGACCTTCTTATCCAATGCACAACTTGTGTAAACAGCATGAACGTTCCCGGATAATCTTTTTGCTAAGCTTCACGGGGACGGGTGGCACGCAGGGATGTAATGTGTAACAGCAACTGGACTCCGCCACTTCTAGCAAACGTTTTCCTTAAATACCTTCATGTTGGAACTGCCACGCTGCTGCAGTCAAAAGCACTCTGTGCAGCCCTTCTGAAATGCAGCCTCTGGTGCCTCGTGAGGAGGGCCTAAGTTTTGTTGTTCATTGCCATGAGGACATTAAGCCAAGCGGTTGTGGCAAATGGACCTTGCAGAACTGCTGCCTGACTGATTTGCTGTGGAAGGAGGCCGGTGGGAATTCCTAACCTTGTGTTTCTTTTATTAAAGAAACAAAAGCTATGTTTTAGGGTAACCCCTCCCCCGAAGTAGCTGGCAACAAAATGTGAATGATAACGAAGTCTCAACAGTGACTATTTCAACCAGGTAGTACGCATTATACACACAACATTGCCCAGCAAGTCTTAATTATAGGTAAAAGCAAGTGAGTTTGTAGGGCCTGCTTGAACACCTGTCAAGATAGGTCATCGAGCAGAACAGAGTTCCTCAAACAGAGGTTAACCACCAAAAAGGCCCTGTTCCTCACAGGTAGTGTGACGTAATTGCTCTTACAGGCAGAGATGAGAAGGGCCTCCAGTACTGATCCCAGAATTCAGGCAGTTTGGGAAGTGCTTCCCAGTGCTCAGGCGGCCATGCTTGACGAGAGGGGACTTAAGAGGTTTCTCAAACTTCTGGAAATGGGGCTGATTGTGCCTGTAGAAGAGCTGCTGTCTGAGCGCTTGCTCCTGCAGCTGTAGATTATGAATAAGCAGGCTTGTGAATTCACAAGGCACTCTTAACCCTCTCCGTAAGAGTTACTGGCCCTGAAAGGCTGAGCCTCCTCACACAGGCAGGAGGGAGTGAATCCTGTCTGCTCCGCTCCAGCCGGCATCCAGGAGTGCCCTGGATTGCGAGTGACACCGGCAAGGCTTCAGGCTGCTGGGCCACATGCTAGCACGGCATGGACTTGGTTCTGCGAGGTCCCCAGAGCTCTGCAAGGCTTCTTGTGGAAGAGCACACGGCCCAGCAAGCCTGGCTTTAATGCTCTCTCTTCCAGATCCTTGGGCGACATTGGGCGTCGCACCACGCTAGCCAAGATGCTGAGCAGAACCATGAGAGACTTCGGCAAGCAGCTGATCCGGCAGCGCACAGTAGACCTGGACACGAACGAGTCACAGTTGGCTCGCTGCCTCTCCACCTTGGACCTGATAGCTCTCGGCGTGGGAAGCACCCTTGGAGCGGGTGTCTATGTTTTGTCTGGTGAGGTGGCCAAGGATCTTGCCGGGCCATCTATTGTGATCTGTTTCTTCATCGCAGCCGTCTCATCGGTGCTGGCCGGCCTGTGCTATGCAGAGTTCGGAGCCCGGGTGCCCAAAGCCGGGTCTGCCTACCTCTACAGCTATGTGACAGTCGGAGAAATCTGGGCCTTCACGACAGGGTGGAACCTCATTCTCTCATACATGATAGGTATGCACTGCTCCCAGACTCCGAATGATCACGTGTAAGAACTCCAGGGCTTGCCTGCGGCATTGCATTAAAGAAACGGGTGCCTGCTCATCTTAGGAGATCAAGCCCCTCCTGAGCTGGATCATCCGGACTAGATTTTTATTTAAACCTATTTGAACAATAGCAGCCAAGCAGCCCAGTCGTGGTTGCATGTTAATTTATGTACAGCTGATGTATTTAAAATACTTTTAGGCTGCTTCTCCCTCTCTGCGGAGAACTGGAAGGCACAAAAAACCCACACTGCTGCAGTGTTATCACATGTCGGGTTGTTTGCTTTTTCTATTGATGAGTCTGTGAAGCAGCTTACAAAGAAAAATGTAAATACTGACCCCTGCCACCACATGCACAAAACAAAGACTGTGAAAAGAAGCTGCCTGGGGCTTTTCAGCAGCAGAGACCAGCACCTTGAACCGTGGCCTCAGAGCCGGCTTTAAACACTAGCAATGCTTCCTCCGCTGACTGGTCCCCATCAACGGTCCCTTGCAGTAGGATGCTGGACTGAGTCTTCTTCTGTGTGGCCTTTGGGGGCAGCTCCATGCATGATGCATTGCAGTCTGGAGGCTACTGGAACACAGAACAGAAGCGGGCTGTGGCACAGATAACAAGGGGGCTTTGCCTTCCTCTGAATCACACACGATTTACTCTGGTATATTCCTCCACAGGCATCCCCTGCAGCTGGTGGGTTGGGAGGGGCACCTCAAATTTGGGGGCTTTGCGGACGTCCACCTCTAGGAACTGGTAGTGACAAAGGCCACTAACCGGGGTTGCTGCAGAAGCATTGGGTGCAAGACTAAGCACCACTTAATACAGGGCTCTCTTTTGGTTGCCAGGAACAGCAAGCGTTGCTCGTGCTTGGAGCTCCACTTTTGACCACATGATTGGCGGCCATATATCCACTTTCTTCCACAATAACACTGCCCTGCATGTGGAAAATGTGCTTGCCAAATATCCCGACTTCTTTGCCCTCTTCTTGGTGTTGCTGCTTACAGGTGAGGTGACAGAGATTTTCCTCCCTCTCTCATAACGCTAGAAGGCAGTGAGCTCATCCTGTGAAGCCGAATGGAAGGAGATTCAAGGCAAACCAAGTGAAGGGGCTCCTCACACAGTGCACAGTTAAACTGCCACCCAAAGACGATGTGATGGCCAGCAACCGACGGGTGAAAAGAGAGTTGGAAAAATGATGGAATCAGGCTACTGGCGGCTGCCGCTTGTGATGGCTGTGCGCACCCGCCAGGATCAGTGGTGCGAAGCTTGTGGGTCCAGTTGCTGGGGAGAAATGGGGAGAGGCCAGTTGAGCTTTTGGCCACGCTTCCCAGATGCGTCTGGCTGCTCACGGCAGGAAACACAATGCTGGACGACGTAACCCTTTGAGCTGGTCCAGCAGGGCTTAAATTCTTACGACTACTTGCTGTTAAAAGCTCAGGGAAACTGGACAGATTGAGCCTGGTCTGTGAAAAACAGAAAGGGAGGTGCTGCATGGATCTCCCTGCAAAAGGAGTTCGCAGCTGAGGTGCCACCACTACGAAGGCTGCATGTCAAAGAAGAATCAAATGGGAGGGCTTGGAAGGAGAAGTTGGTAGGAAGGGCAAACGGAGCCCTGTACTGCCACTGTTTATTGGGCTTTGTAGGTAACTAAGCCAGCCAGCTGCCCAGCTGGGAATGCCGGGCAGGCACATCGGGGGGCTTGGAGACAGAGCCTTTCAACAAGCCAGCACTGTCCTCTCTCTTCTGCTGCCCCCTTTCCAGGCTTGCTGTCATTTGGTGTGAGCGAATCTGCGCTGGTGAACAAAATCTTCACAGCCGTCAACTTGCTGGTCCTTGGCTTTGTCATTGTTGCTGGTTGCGTGAAGGGAGACGTCAAGAACTGGAGCTTGTCAGAGGAGGATTTTCAAAACCTCTCACTTGCTTCTCCTGGGAAGGAGTAAGGCGCTCCCCCCCCCCCCCCGGCCTGGCTTGGGCCCCAGACGGAGGCAGCGGCCAAATCATCCCTCGGGTTTAACGCCTGGCGGCCCGGTTCCTGCCGTGGGTTTTCATGTGATGCTGTGCAGCGCAGCAAGTGGGGCTGGGAAAAACGTGGCGCACGGTGGGGAGCAGGCCGTGAGGGGGGAAGCTGGAGAGCCTTGCAGGACTGCTGTGAGGCCGGGCCGGCTAGCTGGGGCGTGGGATGGAGAGCAGGCTTTGCTCTCTTGACCGGTCTTTCTTTTCCAGAACGGGCAAGTTTGGCAGTGGAGGCTTTTCCCCATTTGGCTTCCAAGGGATCCTCTCTGGGGCTGCCACATGCTTTTATGCCTTTGTTGGGTTTGACTGCATTGCGACAACAGGTAAAGCAGCCGCGTTTGAGGGGCGGTGGTGATGGGCGTCGGATAACAACACCATTTTTGTGGCTCTGTACTCCACACAGCGGGAGTCGTTGCACAGCTGATTTGCCGTTAACGGAAGCGTCCTGCTCGGAACACACACACAATAGTTCCCCTGCATTCTGCACCGGCATACTTTGTCCACTAGGGGGTGCCACAAAAGGGCCACCTTGTTGCTCAGGAGCATGCCAACTGCAATGCGGAAGGACCTCGAAACCAAGTCCGATGAGGAATGGTTGGAAAAGCTGGGTGATTTGGCGTGAAGTAGAGAAGACAGAGGGGAGAGCAGAACAGGAGTCTTTGAACACCCGAGAACCCGACACACAGAAGCCAGAGCAGCAGCCTTTCTTCTGTGCCTCCCGTGGAGAGGACTAGGACCAGGCAGTGGCAGCGGCAGGGGCAGGGAAGCAGACTTCGGGCGAAGCTTCCTAGCCGGGATCGCTGTACGGGCATGGGGGCGTTCCAGACAGACTGCGGCAGGCAGCGGGGGGTCCTCCTCCTCTGAAGGGGGTCAAGCAAGGGCTGCACAACTTTCTGTCTCCTATATATTGAGGAGGGTGAGAGAGCATCCAGTTCCTTCCAAGATTCATTCTGCTCAGGAAGGGGAAATATTACATAACTGCCTTGCCTGGAGGCCTGCTTGGCATGGCAGGAGTCCCATACGTAGGGATGGTCTCCGTCTGAATGGAAAGATCCACGGTAAAGGAACACCTGCGTAGCGCACATTCACACTAACATTCAAGTCGCGTTTTCCGGCACGTATTGCCCTGGCTTGCAATGGCTTGGGGCTGGTTCTAAAAGCCCCCTGTTGGGAGAGGCAGGGAGGGAGGGTCCCCCTGGACCGTCACCTTGGTCACTCTGCACCCCCTGTGCTTTCTGCAGGTGAGGAGGCCCGGAACCCTCAGCGCTCGATTCCCATCGGCATCATCGTCTCCCTGCTCATCTGCTTTGTGGCCTACTTCGGGGTTTCTGCTTCCTTGACCCTGATGGTGCCTTACTTCCTGGTGGATGACGAGAGTCCGCTCCCCGCTGCCTTCAAGGCGGTGGGTTGGGAACCTGCCCGCTATGTTGTGGCCATAGGCTCACTCTGTGCCCTCTCCACCAGGTAAGGGATGGGAAAGGAAACAGACGTGATGTGGACCTGCCTTTGGGCGTGGATTTACTGCCATTGTCCTCTTGCTTGGGTTATTTTCTGGAGGAAGAGCTCGTCCTCCCAACACTGTCTCAAAGCAGCTGACACATTTCTTTTAAGATGCCAGGAAAACTGGCAGTCCGTGAAAACTGCTCAAAGCAACAAATGCAAACCCGATATCAAGTCAGCATCTAACAGGAAGGAAGGCTAAGTGTCGTCGGACAATTCAATGCCCTGAGAAACCCAGAAACGGCAGTCTTCCCTAGCACCTGCACACAAGCGGTTTGCGTGTCTTTGCTCCCCTGCTTCATCCAACTGCAGCCATTGCTGTCAAATTCAGGATTCTGCAGGGAAAGAGGCACCTTTTCTGCACGTGTGGTTTCCCATTGGAACTGTGAAGCAGAGTGTGAGGGAGAAGCCACCTCTGCCTTCCTTGCTTATCCAAATGAATTGGCTCCTGATGGGTGTTTGGTGATCTGTTAGGGATGTGAATGCCCTCCGCCCCTCCGCGGAACTGCTGGGGCATCAGCAGCATCTTTGGTAGCAGGGGAGAGGTAGATGCGCAATGCAGAGCAAGGTTTCAAGAGGCTCTGGGGCCAAGCCCAGATGCTGCTCGGGGCTGCGCGTCTGCTGGGGGCTGTCCCAGAAAGACTTTGTGCCCGGTTGCTGCCCAACTAATCGCTAAAGATGGGGGCAGCCAGCGAAGGGCCTCTGGAGAAGGCTTCCACAGAGGTGTGGGTCTGCCTGAGAGGGCCGTTCCCCAGCTGCAGCCTAGAAATGTCGCAAGGAGAGCCTGACGGGGAGGTGCGGCAGCTGCACTGGCTGCTGCTTGCATGTGCAGCCACAGAAGAGGTCATCGCACACTCAGCCCGAGGGTCAACCTGCTGATGGCCCCTTCCTGCAAACGTTTTCAGACATACCCTAGTTGATTTCACGTCTCTTTCTGGCCGCTGCAGCTTGCTTGGATCCATGTTCCCGATGCCTCGAGTGATCTACGCCATGGCTGAAGATGGGCTGCTCTTCAGGTTTCTCTATCGTGTGCACAGCCGGACCAAAACTCCCTTGGTGGCCACCATTGTCTCAGGCATCATTGCCGGTATGCCCGGTCTCCCCCGCTCCTGGTGGTTCCTTCCGAGCTACTTGGGGCTCATGCCCTTCCCTCTCTGTTGCAGCCTTGATGGCATTTCTCTTTGAGCTGGAGGACCTGGTTAACCTCATGTCCATCGGCACTCTGTTGGCATACTCCCTGGTGGCCGTGTCGGTGCTCATCCTCAGGTGGGTGCCTCTTGGGATGCCCGGCTCGCCGCAAGGTCTTCCCAAAGCCCTGTCTGAGCCTCGTACCACTCTGGCCCATGGCGGTCTCTGCCTGCACTGGGCTGCTGGGTGCTGCAGCCACGGTCCCGTTTTAAATTGTCTGGGTCTTCTGGCAGGTATCAGCCTGAGGTGTTCACAGCCCCCAAAGACTTGGAAATGCTTGAAGTGAATGGAAGCGAAGAAGAGAAGGTGATAATGAATCCCTCAACTGGCGAGAGCCAAACTGTGCTCGAGGAGAAGTTCAGCTGGAAGAGACTGGTTTGGCCTTCTGGGAATGCCCCAAGTTGTGTCTCAGGGCGCATTGTCTACATCAGTAGCACAGTCCTCTGTAAGTGGCTGTGGAGATGGGTGTCATGGCCTGCTGGGGATGCAGAACCTGTGTGCACCTCAGGAGTAGTGTGGGAGACAAGGCTAGAAATCAGTCTTTCCCACCCCAGCACCCTCCACAGATGCGGTTGATCTTGCTGGCTGGGGATGATGGGAACTGTAGTCCAGCAGACCTGGGGAGTGTCTGATGGGAGAAGGCTGCCACGCATTTCCAGTGGAACAGGGAGAGTCCCCACAGCATGGCTGACGGCACTCGGCCTGTTAGGCGTATTGGGCTCCTCTCACTGCCTGGAAAGAGGCTGATTTTCATTCCGAAGGCCAGGAGGAAAGAGTGGGTAGCTCGGTACCAGAGCAGTTTGTGCGTACGTACTCTCTGCATCCAAGGTTTCTGGTTAAGACATTCTCAGCAACTGCCCGGCTGCGTGTGACGCTGCATTTTGCGTTTGCTGTCTTGCAGGTGTGACAACGGCTGTCCTGTGTGGCATCCTGGCCCAGGAAGGGAAAGCGCTCTTGGACAACAGTGTGGGCTGGATTACGGCCTGCGTGCTTCTCCTAGTCGTTTTGCTGGGTGCCACTGCTGTCATCTGGAGGCAGCCAGAAAGCAAGACTCACCTTACTTTCAAAGTAAGAATCTTGATCCCAGGGCTCTTTTTGCCTGGGGGAACATGAGCGTTTATGGTAGAATGACGTCACCCCCGTCAGGTAGCTGAACACTGGCCAAAGAACAGTGCCTCTTCCACCACTGCTTTTGGGTGGTTGGACCCAAGGGTGGCACGAGACACATCTTGCTGTCTTCTGTCTCTAAAGCAGTGGTAGGGTCCCCTTCCTTGATGGGCAGTCTCCCTCCGCCTCCACCTAACCCAAGAGTAAGAATGGGAGAAGGGGGGAAATGAATCGGATGCCAAGTTCCTCTTGGGGATCTGGATGACTCTCTGCGCTGGCATGCAGCAGAGGGTTCCCATCTACCCCTGCAAGTGCACGTCTCCACAACCGTACCAAAGAGGAGGATCATGTAGACCACCTTGATCTGCTTGCAAGGAAGCGAGGTGGGATGTTGCCGTTCTGACACGCTGTTATCTCATCTCCAAGTTGTGGCGAGCGTGGGAGTGGATGCTCCCCAGAATGCCCTGTCCTCGGCAGTCTTGCCCAACTGCTGGTGGGCCCCTATTTGGGCTTCCCTCTAGTGATGACGACAAGTGACCAGGTCTGTCCATGGGAGAGACTTCCCATTTCAGGCTGTAATTCCTCAGTGTTCCCACAGTTGGGTTGACCGGCCTTCCCATCTGCTCTTGGGCTAATCTTTCCCACGCCGCCTCCCACTGGGTCTCAGAACCTTGAACTGCAGCTGGGGTCTGAGCCGCTTCAAAAATAGTCTCCTCAAAATCAGAATCTGAGTCATCAGTACAGCCAGCACAGGGAGTCTCCCATGAGTGGCACCTGAAGTTTGACATGGCTCCCACACACGACAGATAACCCATGCCTTGTTTGAGAGCCGACTGTTCTCTAGCCTTCAAACAAACCCCGCTGCCTGAATTTGCATGATGGGGCGAGCCAGGAACCCACCGTGGCAGAAGAACCCGAGATAAATTAAGTTACGGTTGGCTGCCATGACATGCAGACTCAGTGGCCACAGCATGGCGGACTAGATGGGCATTCGGCCTGATGCAGCATCAGGGCCATCTCCTCCTCTTCCTCCTCCTCCTCAGGTGCCTGGGCTGCCACTACTGCCCCTCATCAGCATCTTCGTGAACGTCTATCTCATGATGCAGATGAATGCGGGCACTTGGGCTCGTTTTGCTGTCTGGATGGCCATCGGTAAGAAGCACCACATTCTGCTTGAGAAGAGGCGCTGGGAGCGAGTGTTCCAGCTATGCCATCCCCAACTGGGAATGGCGGGCAGGGGGTGAAGCAGGGGCGTGGGGAGAGAGGGGGGCCGAGGGTGCCGTTGTGACCACGGGGCTCGGTTTTCCTTCTAGGCTTTGCCATCTACTTTGGCTACGGGATCCGGCACAGTGAAGAAGGGCAGGCGGCTCGGCAGTCCCAGTCGGCGGCAAGGAAACCTCTGCAGTGTCCTACCTCTGACCTGAGCCAAGACAGGGCCATCTGAGAGCAGGTGATCTGCTCTCTGTCCCCATCCGGATGGCCCAGGGGCCCGAGCTCTTACTTGCCTCTTACCCCTCCCTACGCCAGGCAAGTGATCACATGATCCCGAGTAGACAGTCTCTATGGCAACTATTGTAAACTTGCGTCAAATGTGCCATCCTGCCATAGAGGCACATAAAACAAACTAGTGGGCAGGAGACGGGGCAGAAGCCAATTCCCCCTTGGCCTTGGGAGAAAGCCAATGCCTGCCAGAGAAGCTGCCACACCCCCTGGTGTCTGTATTTATTCTGTCTGGCCTTATTAACTGGAGATTGCCTTTCCCACGTGTCCCTGTCAGTGTGAGACAGCTGGAGTCCAAGCCCGAATCTCAGTACCTGTAAGCTTTTTGTTCGTATTGTCAAAAATGTTACATGTTTTGTATGATTAGCACACCAAAGGATTTTAAAAAAAGGTTTTTATATGTTCAACTTGTGGCCGCCATTTCATGCCAGTTTGCTTTGCGATGTGCTTGGTGGCCATTCTTGTGGGTGAGCTTGTGGACCTGTCCCCGTGAAGTGGTACAATTATATTCAGGCTGCTCATGAACCCCCCTTTCACAGCTCAGTTCCCTGAGAAGCAGAGGCAGAAGCTCCTCAAAAGCTCGCTTGCCCCGAGTGCCACCGTAGCTCTTGAAGGATCCATGGGAGACTGCTTGAGCCCCCAAAATCTCCCCTCCCTCAAGCAGGCTTTTCTTAATTAGAGCCCCCCCCCCCCCACGGCCAATCACAACAATCATTAAAAACAAGGCCGGCTGTGCTCAGTACTCTGTCCTGCTGTGGAGCCTTCCAGAGGTGGCCAACTTGTGGCCCTCCAGGTGTCCTATCCTCCTCCTTCCATCAGCCTTTACCGTTGCCTGTGCTGGTTAATGCTGTTGGGCCTTGTGGCTCCCCAGCCATTTTCACCCACCGACTGCCCAGGCCTGTCCTAAATGAGGACGTGTGGTATGGGGCTGAGCTCCTTGCTTGCTTGAAATCTGGTAGACAATTAGGCGGGCCTTCAGCCTGTTTCAGGAATCAAGAGTGGCGCTGCGAGCATATCACCTTGTGCTCAAGCAGCACACAGCACCCATTACTAGCAGCCACACTGGCACAGTCTAACAACTGGAGTACCGTAATTTCTCTACCCTTGCCTCGGCTTCTCACATAAAACCAAACAGTTTGGCACTTACTGTAGGACATCCTTTAGCACTAGAGGTGGATCAGAGAGGTAGCAAGGTATGACGGAGTTATCTCCAGCAATCAGCTAGCTGGATTGGCCAATGAGCTACCCTAAAACCCCATGTTGAGGCAGCAATAGCATGCTGTCAGTATGGTCATCGGAGTGATGGGAGGCAGCGGATGAGAACCAGGCCTTAGCTGGACATTCCCACCTCTTTCAAAAGCTGTAGCTACACAGAGGGTGTACGTTGCACAATGGACAGAAATGGAAATTCATGCTAGTCCTAGAGGTTTGTATCTCTAAAGGAGCGTCCCTTGGTATATTTGATCTGGGTAGTGGGGCTGGAACCAGAGGGTGGCAGAACAGATTGCAAAATAAGCTAACAACTAGCCACTGGCTCCAGGCTGGGAGAGTGGAGACTTTAAAGGCAAACAACACCCTCCAATTGTAAGTAAGACATAGTAAGCTCATTTTAATTTAGTCCATTATGTTTAGTGACTTCCTGGGTTTGCTCTGTTTTAATTCTTCCCAAATCTGTGAAGACCAAATGATGGGTGAATAACAAACTGACAGCAAATTTACGTCACAGTATTAGGCAAACACTCTTCTTTCAAAATGTGGCAACTCTCCAAGATCTGGGTCAACCTGGTGGTTCTTGCCCCTTTGGAGCAAAGGCAGTCGCTTTCCTATATTTTGACTGGGAAAATCATCCCGAGTGCCCGAAAGGAAGCTCGCCAGTGACTTCACTCATGTGCCAGTGTGCACACACACTCCAAAAAACATGCATAGGACCAGACTCTCTAAGACTGAATCGGTGCCAAACTGCCAAACTCCATTATACAGAAACCTTTTGAAATTTGCTCTCAGAGCTCTGATCTAGGCCTTCAGCTCATTTGACCCAAGCGAGTCCAAAAGCTACACTTTAAACCAGAGGAAATAGGTAGGCAGCGGGCCTGAAAGCCATGCAAACACTGTGTGTATGCTTGATGTTTCCTTCTTGTGATGGAGGACTACTCCTTGGAATTCAACCCAGTTAATATTACTGCAGTTCAACAGTTAATTGCCCATGGCAGCTTATTGTCTTACCAGATCCTCACTGTTTTTGCTCTGAATGCCGACACATGAATAAGCGTCATGTAACTTGAATGTGACATCTTACTACAATTGTTGGACCAAATAAAAAAACTGTCGCACTATCACGTGTGTTGTGGTTTGTCAGACAGTGGCAGTGCACAGTCCTGACCACCTGCACCAAAAGCTGGGGCAGCAGGGGCCTTTTCACCCATGGCTGACTAGATCCTACAATCCACCCCTCAAACCATACAAACCAGAGTTGCTGAAGGAAGGAATAAATATATGGAAGAGAATCTGTTCTCAGTTTATTCAAGGCCAACACAGGCCCAGTGTGGTGTCATGGTTAAGAGTGTTTGTGAGGAGAAGTGGCCCCTCCAGCATCCGAGGGACACAGGCAGATCCAGCAACTGGTTAGGTTTGAGCTTTCCCAGATCTGCTCCACCAGAAGGGCTGAGACATTGTGCTCCTACCCTGGGTTTCCACACCTGGTTTCCACACCTGTCACTGAGACTGAAAGCAGCAGGAGGATTTCCAGTCAGGTCTCATCACTCCAGCCTTCCCTGCAGATGGCAGACGCCCCCCTCCCTTCTGTATCTAATGCAGTCAAAAAGTGTGTTAACACTCACTGCTGATCTCTGGTCCTGGATGTTGTCAGGATGTTTCCCCTCATGTTTAGCCAGAATCTGCTTCCCCGCAATTGGAAGACTGTTCTCATGTCTCCGCTTGGTCTTCTCTTCTCCAGACTAAGCAGACCTGGCTCTTTTCAAGCACTCCTCATTTGTCAGTAACCTCCCTGAACCGTACTCCAAAAGGAGTGCAAGCACCGCAATGCTGAGAAGAATGACTACTTCCTGGGATCTGAGCAATATGCTTCCGTTAACGCAGCTTAAGACTGCATGCACTGCTTTGGCAGCTGCATCACGGTGCTGGATCACCCACATGGACTGCTGCCAAACTAGATTAACCCCATCCTATACTTGTGTCCCTGATTTTTTTAACCTCAGCATGTTGCTGAATTTACCTTGTTTTGGCCCAGTGTCAAGATTATTTTAATACTGCTGCTTACTTCTATGACCTTAACCATTGTAGCCAGCGTCCTATTGCTTGCATATCTGAAAAGCATCCGCTCCATACCCTCTTCATTAATTCAAGTAATTCATAAAAATAATGACCACCACACAGCCTAAGACAGAGTCCTCAAGGCCCTTTCAAGGCCTCCCTCCAAACTGCTGCAGAACTATTAATAAGCATCTGCTGGGTACCACCATTCAACCAGCTGTAGATCCACATAATAGCAGTAGCACCAAACCCACAATTCACCCTTGTGTCAAGGTATTTACCTCAGCCTTGAGAGAAGGCAGAGACAGGTTAATGAATGTGTGAATTAGTGAGGGATTAATCCCTAATCGGAGCCCTCTTTCCTTTCATACTAACTTTGCTCGGATTCAATTTAGCCCACATCCTCTGCTTTGCTTACATTATACAACACCAATGAAAATCCTTCGTTTCACAATCACTTCTGTAAGAAAAAAAGATTCTGTGGCACAAATGAGCAGAGCTTCAGGGCTATGCTCTGCTTAGCCACCATCTTGTGATTTATTGGTTATAGCAACTAGTTAGTTTCTTTAGAATAGGCACATCCCACAGCTCTTCCAGCAAGTAGGCTGCTAATAAGCAAAACCTAGAACATTTCTTCCAATGACTGCCTGTCCAAATATGAAATGGTAAGTCAGTGTTTTAAACTGGCCACTCTTTAAACTCTCCCTCTGTTCTTTCCAATGGCCTTACCACTAAGCAAGATGCAGCAAACTCACGGCCTGGAGCAGCCCTAGGGATTTGTCCAGCCACCAGCAAAACCCTCCTTGCAGACTTCTCAGTCCGACCTGAATGCAAGACAAGTGAAGGACACCAAGGGTCAGGACTTGGCACACTCAAGAATGAGAGGAACAAAACTATGTTTTATTCTTGAGCATACATTTGATCGCAAGCAAAAGGGCAACTGACCTGGAGCACATGGTAGAGTCCCCTTTTATACCTTTGCTGACCAGGTGATGATGACAGGCATCCATTGGTTCAAAATTCCTGCCATGGTACATGGTACATTCCTGCTGATTGGTACATTTTGGTGATTCCCATGCTTACCTGGGAGGCTGGGCTACCTGAGGGTTGGCTGGGAGGTCTGGTGAGGGATTTATCAATCCCTGGCCTCGCAAACAGCCTGACCAGGGTTAATGCCAGCCACCTAGATATGTCCTATGTAAGCCATGGTCCAGCTTTGCTCCCCAATGTTCTGGACCATGGCCTGGCTTCACGCACCTCCTGAGCTGGGCTAGGCACCTCTCCTCCACCCCCTCATGCTTTCTCCTTCCTTCTCATGCACCGCCAGGATACTTCATGATCCTGCTTGTGCAAAGGGTTGGTTGTTGCCTCCCTCTGCTGGTAACAAGGCATTCCCACACCAGAAAAACAGGTTACTGGTTGATTTGAGCTGGCCCTTTCTTAGCAGAGGTGAGCAGAGCAAGCCAGGAAAGGGCAAGTTTTCCCCGAGAGGGCAGCTTCCTGCAGGCTCAGGCCTTGCTTCATGATGCACAGAGCACTTCCACACTGTAACGGCCAGCGCTGCTGTTCTTCCATACCCACTGCATCCCCAGGTCCATCTGGCACCTGGCTCACCCTTCCCTGGAGGGCTGAAGCAGAAACCCATCTGGACATGCCCCTGTCTTGGCAAGCTCGTTTAAAATGGAGCGATGCTGGGGGGAGGGGGGGAAGCAGTGTTATATATATTTTTTTAAAGTCCTTGTATCCCACCCATCACAATGTCTCAGGGTGGCAGCACAGTGAAATAAATCTAAATACGGTACAGCATCACTAACAAATAAAATTCAATATAAAAACACAAATTAACATTTAAAATAATGGGAAAATAAAAAAGCTTTGGCCTGGCGCTGAAAAGTGTTGGCACTAACTGATAATTTTAATTTTATATTTGTAAATCAATGTATTTTTTGTATTTTTGTATTTAATGGTAATTTATTATGTACTATTGTATTTCAATGTATTTTATCATGTTGTAAGCCGCCCCGAGGTTTCGGCAAGGGGCAGCATAGAAATGTTATAATAATAATAATAATAATAATAATCCCTCTGGGGAACAATTTCCAAAGCCAAGGCACCACCCCTGAGAAGGTCTTCTCCGGGTTGCAGCTCTTCTGAGCTCCCTTAAAGAAAGCTCCCAAAGAAGGGCCTCTGATCCACATCTTAGGAGTCAGGCGGGTTTATATGGAAGGAGGAGCGCCTTCAAATATCTAATCAGGGGTCTTCAAACTTTTTGAATAGGGGGCCAGTTGAAAGGCTGCAGTGACCGTCATGGGCCGGTGAGTGGGGGTGCCGTTGGGCACGCATGAGGCAGCATTAGACACGCACAGAGATGGCTCACTCGCTCAGAGATCTCCCAGCGAGTCCAAAACCATCTCTGAGCGAGCGAGCGAGCGAGCCACCACCTCCCCGCCAGCACCGGCAAGCGTGTACTGGAGGCAGGCGGCGGCAGCTTGCTTGCTCGGAGACCATCTCTGAGCGAGCGAGCCATCACCTCCCTGCCTGAGCAGCAAGCGCGCGGAGTGGGCGGGGAACGGCGGTGGGGGCCAGATGGAAGGCCATGGTGGGCTGGATCTGTCCTGCGGGCTGTAGTTTGAGGACCCATGTCCTAAGCCACTTAGGGCTTTTTAAGTCATCACGAGCACCTTATAGTGGGCCCGGATTTCAACCGGAGCCAGTGCAGATGGTACAGAGCCGCGCTGTATGTGCGTATCTGCTGGTCCCTGCTAGCAACCTGGCTGCTGCTCTGTTCTGAACCAACCGGAGAATCTGCCAGGCTCTGCTCATCCACGCAAGGACAAGGGCGTAGTTAGTGGATTAGCCAAAGCTGAAGGGAGCGCTCCTCCTCCCCACAGCAGTACCTGGAGCTCAAGGGTGACTCCGTGTCATGCACGCGCGCGCGCGCTCTCACGTGCTTGCGTGTGTGATACAGATATCTATATGAAATATAATATATAAAAGTACAGAAGACGTTGGATGGGCCCTTCCGCGCTCCTGCGGCCCCCCTCAACCCCGGCCAGGGGCGTCGAGGGCCGCGGTGTGAGGTGACCGAGGACGCCGGGCAGCTCCCACGCCAAGATGCCGCGCGGGCTGGTGGAGGGGAGAAAGAGCCCGGGGCCTCGCTGCGGGCGTGCGCTGGCGGCCGGCAGAGGCCCAGGCGCGCCCGCTCCTGCTACCGCGGCCGCCGGGAGGGCCCCGCCGAGGAAGGGCCGGGATCTCCAGCGGCGCCAGGCCCGGCACAGGCCGCATCTTGCGAGAGCGGTTCGGGCGCCCCCTGTCGGAGCCAGGTAGTCGCGCGCGGCCGCGTCTCCCCGCCCCCGCGCTTTACCCTACCCAATCAGCTCCAGGGAACCTTCACGAAGGACGAGTCACGTGGAGGAACTCACCAATGGGAAGAGAACTTGCTCCTCCCGGTCTAGTCCGGCGGCGCCTCGGCTGGAATTTCCTGCGCTAGCGCGAGGGCGGACCCACTTGCGGGGGGGGGGAAACACCCAGGCCGAGTTCTGAGGCCGTCGAGCGGACCGTACCACCTCAGAGGGTGGTGCATCCCACTCTGCCTAGTCGCTCATTTGGAGCTCCATGAAAGCCCCAAGGCGCGCAACTGCGGGGACGGCTCCAGCTCAGCTATGCTGGTTATCTGCTTGCGGGCTTGCTTTATTAGATTTATACCCTTTTTTCATTTTAAAGAACTCAAAATGGCTTGCATCGTTCTCCTGCTCTCAGGCTTATCCCCACAACAACCCTGTTTAGTAGGCTGGGCTGCGAGTCTGTGACTGGCCTGGAGCCACCTAGCTGGCTCCACAACCGAGATCACCAGGGTTTCAAGCCCTGGCTTTTAACCACCACACCAAGCTGGCTCTCCTTTTACTGTTTAAAGGTAGCCACTTCTTCAAAATCCAGGCCTGCAGGGAACAGAAAAAGTGGCCAAGGAGCTGGGTGGCCTTTTAGCGATTGCACTCCAACTCCCATCAAGCCCCTCCAGCATGGCCAGTTGAGAGCCACAGTCCTAGAGTCAGCCGTGAACTGGAGAGCGCGAAGTGCAAGTCTCTATTCAGCCATGAAGAAATTTGGATGGTTCGGAGCCCGCGCAGCTTCTCACCCAACCGACCTGTTGTGAGCATGAAATTGAGGCTGGGCAGAGGTTCACTCAGGCTTCGGGGCAGGATCTATTGACTGCAGCTGATTCAGATGTTATGCTTCAGTTATAAAAGCTTATTTTTTGCTTGTGATGAGCTAGCGGACTCACGCTTAATCCTGAATTGCTTTACTGACTGCACTGTACCCTAAGAACCACGGCATATAGGGTAGGTTAGAAATATAATGCAATTATTGAAGGGCATTGCTGGCATATAACCTGCTTGCATATGACCAGCAGGTGTAGCAAATGATATGATTAAAAATCCAGGCTGAAAGGACAGTTGTATGTTAAGGAAGAGGGCTCAGCCCTACACAAAGATGGCATCTTATCACAATGCTCCCAGGCCAGTGCCTTAGGACTTTTTGTTCCAGAAAGAGTCCTCACATTCACAGTAAGCTCACAAGTTGAGCATGCAACAGTTTTGTTAAGCACATGTCCTTAAATACAGGGGTAAATCCCAAATGGCTTGCAGAAGTAAGGCAAAGACCCAGAGCAAGGGAAGGTTGAAAACAAGGGTCACGCTCTGCTGCCAGCCAGACTATGAGGATATGAGGGTGCAGCTTCTCTGAGTCCGGCTGAGAACCGTGTTTCAACTGCCAGCTTCCCTGGGACTGGGTGTTCTAATCCAGCCTCAAACACCACCCAAACTGTAGGTATGGCAGAGAGTCACAGCAACTTCTTTTCAAGATTTCACCTAGACACACTTAAGACAACCTGTGACTGACAGCACAAGGACACACTGGCTTCACAGTGGTTTAATATGAACAAGTCTCGGACATTACATTAGACAGTCAACCGAAGACATAGCTTGCTGAAGTATTAAGCCCCACATCAGAATATATATATGTACAGCAGCAAGAGCCTTTTGATCTTCAGACTTGTGCACCAATGAAGGAAGGAGTTTGAAAACCCACTGCTAATGCAGATTTGCCAGGCGGCAACTGAGGCTGCTACAAACAGGCATGTTAGCACTTTTCCCGTGGCAGATGAGAATCGTCTCCACAGAGGCCGCTTCTCTGTAGCCATTGCTTTGGAAGCCAAGAAGAGTGAGCTTGTTGCCATCAAGTGGTCCCATGGAGGGGTGCAGTCTGTCTATTACCATCCTGCAGGCCCACCCTGCCATATACAGGGTTCTGCCTACCTGCCCTTTCTCACCTCCATTACACTCTACCACCCACCCCAAGTAGTGGAAGATGCACAAAGAGGCAACTGTAAGTCACTTTTTAAGTCAACCCACTTTACCACCTGGGTTGATGCTAATGCCCCCACCCCAATATGCACTGCAGGGCAGTTTGGGGGATTAAGGAGGGGTCTTGTTTAAATGCGTGAAAGAGGCTTGTTAGATGGCCGAGAAGCACCCATGGCCATGGAAAAGACCTCCCACCAGATTAAATATTAAATGAACGGTAGAGAGCTTTTCACTGTAAGCCCAGATGGATGCTGATGTGAAGACAAAAGGTAGGATAGGATCCTTTTCATTGGAAGCACGCCTTTGTAGCTTCTACAGCCAAGAGGTGCCCCTGGCCCAGGCCTCCACAAGACTCTGCTTAAGAAAGCACAAGAGCTTGGAGAGCTTTCCTGCTTCCTAACAGCTCTCAAAGGCGCTTCATGCCTCAGGCAGGACGTCTGATCTGCCTCCACCTTTTCCAAGGCTAGAGTCTCAAGATAGGATTAGCAGCTAAAATCCCAAAACATTCCAGTGGGTGTCTGGGTTCGTGCATGACGGCCTCTTGTATGAACTCCCTCAGAAGAACCTTACTACTAAATAAAGGGCGCTTGCAAGCCATTTTTGGTCTAGAGTGGCCTTTCAGCGAAGAAGGGAGAGACTTGCCGCATTCCAGTCATGGCTTTGATCATTCCCAGGCAAAGGACACAGAAGCATGCCTCCACAACTGCTCGAGAGTGTGAGGACCACATTCTCCCTAGGTGTACCTGTACAGGTGCCCCGCATCCTTGCACTGAGGTGTGAAAGAGGCAGCTCTGATACAAACGACAATCGTACACTAGTTCCTATCAAGCTTTAGGCATCCACCAACAGGTGCAGCTATTACAGGTTCTCACTTGTTTTCTTTTTCTTTTTGCAGAGACCAAAGACCAACAGAACTCAACACTGCTGCCTGACAAGGAAAAGGGATGGGACAGCGTGGTGGGTGACACTGGGCACGTGGGGAAGTTCAGAGAGAGAAAGCTGGTTCAGAAGAGACAGTGTAAAAATAAATGTCATTTTTGCAAGGAGAGAGAAAATGGAGGATACCGGACTCCCCTACTGGCGGACCTTCCCTGGGACGTAATTCCTATCGATGGTCTCCTCTTGCAGGAACATGTGCAAGCAGCGTTCATTCTGTGCCAGCGGGTGTCCAGCGATTCTGCCACACACAAAAAGAGCGAGCGTGAGGCCAGGGTAGCAAACGGGAACCAGCGGCTGGTTCTGTGCAAGAGCTTCGATGGGCCATTCCAGAGACACACACAGCGGGGGAAATGCTTTGGCTGGCTGTGGCAGCTGCTGCTTATCCGTCTGCCAACCACACTGCCTCTCCAGTTGTCCGGTGTCTGAGGAAGAGCTTGTGGGATGGACAGGCCCTCCCCTTAGACTTTGGAGGGCTTGGATGGCTCTGCCCCGTGACCTGGAGAATGGGGGAAGGCCTTGCATCTTGCCCAGGGACAAGGCCTGGAAGACGGAGGTGGGGGTCTGAACGTGTGGTGTGTGTCTGGAGGCTCCGAATGCCTGCAGAAGACTGTTCAGTCAGAAGTGAGGGAAGGGACAACTGCCAGGGCTCCCTTGTATGCACTGTGGCTCCCATGACAACTGGAAGTGCTACAGTTCTGCAGACTGCATACAGTATCCTACAGACATACACGTTCTATACTTGTTTCGTCTTTAGGGGTCTCCTCATTGGCAAGAAACAGAACTCAAAAATGTGATGTCATGACTTGTGGCATACAGCAAATATGGACATTTACCAATCTTGTTCCAAGGCTGGTTGCTGAATCCGTCGTCTTGTTAAGGAAGCAGGCATGGTCCCTACTCTGCGGTGGCACCCTGCCTGTGGAGTGCGCTCCCCAGAGAGGTCCGCCTAGCGCCGTCACTATTTGTTTTTCGGCGCCAGGCCAAGACCTTTTTATTTCAAACTTATTTTAATTGCTAATTTATTATGGTATTTATAGGATTTAAAATTTTTAAGCCGAGATGCTACTGGGCTTTTTAATTTCTAATTGTATTAATTGTTATTTATATGTTTTAATTATGCTGTGAACCGTCCCGAGGCTTTGTTGCGATGGGGGCGGCATAGAAATGTTTTAAATAAATAAATAAATACATACATACATACATACATACATACATCCTCCCTCCCTCCCTCCCTGCCAGCAGCAACAAGGACCTACTCCGACCAGCCACAGAGCCTTTTGGCACTGTTGCTACCATCAAGGCGCTGGTTTTAAAGATTTCGGGACCCAGCTGGGCAGACTGTGACCCTCTAGATACCGCTGGACCGCAGCTTCCCGCAGAACTGAAGACTGGCTGGGCCTGCCGGGCAGCGTGGGCCAGCAACAGCAGCTGGAGGGCTGCACGTTTCCTGTTCCCGCCAGAGGGTGTTTGGTTTAATGTGCCCTCCTCACGGGGAGGGGAGATTTGCACCGCCACATTTTTCGCTAATCTTTGAACTCAACTTGCCCACGGGCAGTGACCACTGTCCGATGATGCCAAAGCAACCTCCTCCTGCACAAGTCCTGTCTTTAGGACTCCACAGAAAGAGGGCATGAATAGGAAGGCAGCTTAAACAGAATATGGGGTTGCTGGCAGTGATGGCAGAGGGGGTCCTCCTTGAAGGAAGGAAGGCAGGCAAAGGTGTGCTTTTGCCACCGACGCAACCCATCCCCTCTCCAACCATTTGGAATCAAAAGAACCACGTAAAGCAGACCAGAGCACCGTCTTCCTGTTGAGAGCAACCCTTCTTCACTGGTAACCTGTTGGGGCTTTTATAAGTGGTGGGTGGGGCTGAAACCAGGAGTGGGCAGGCCACCCAACTGTATTTGATCTGCACCCCGCCTTTCCACGTTTTTTCTTTCAGCCGCCCCCTTCTCTTTCCTCCTTCCCCCCCTTCCCTTCCACCCAACGGATTCCAGAGCACTGCAGACAGCTCTGGAAGCCATGCCAAGGGCTGCCCTCCTGTGGGGCGGCCATCCAAGCAAGGCCCTCCTTAGCCCCGAGAGGGCCGGAGGTTCACACTGCACCGTGCTGCAACCCATCTCCTTTCTCTGCGCCCCCCGAGCAGCCATGTCAGCCTTACTTGTTTATGAACTGTTCTAAGCCCTGTCTTCTTTCTTCTATGAAGGACTCCTCAAAGATGCCCTCATCTCCTCGGAAAGGGAGCTGGCGTTTCAGTGCTTTGCCAGGCAGCGGAGGCACTACAATCTAAAGGCAAAGAACACCACGTAAGAAAGGAGCAAAGCTGCCACCTTGCTGCTGCCCCTGAATCCCCCAGGGACCCAAACTAGCGCAACAGGGGAGTGCTCCAGAGATTTCTGCCACAGAAATGCAGATGAGACCCAGCTAGTTTATTAGCGCTGAAGAGCGGAGCTTCTCTGTGCGTCTGTGCACCGAGGCAGCGCTCAGTCCTTCACTCACCTTACTGTCACGCTCCAGCTCATTTTTCAGCCATTCAAAGTCACTATATCGCCGCCTAACGCAGGACTCTTTCAGTTTGAAGATGGGCAGGTTTGTCTGAAAGCAGAAGAGGGAGTCATTCGCAGCTGCTTTAGAAGCTACTCTTTCCAGGTGACAACAGGCAGTATTAGAACGCGGTGGCACGTTCACTGTTCACATTTGTGCCGAGAACTCATCTTTGCATGCCTCTCGCTATGCAGAAGTTCAAGAACCAAGACTGCTGGAAACGGATTCCTATATCCTGTACTCGGCCCTGGATGCCACATGCTGTTCTGCAGTGCAGCAGGTGATTGTAGGACATGCCCTCCCATTTATCGAAAGGATGCATCATTTCTAATCCGAAAGGTCTCAGGACTAGCTTTTTATTCTGTACTCTGCACTGTCAAAAAAGAACATTAGCAGGTGCACTGGAAAGGGGAACTTTCACCATGGCTTGGGTAAACTGCCGCTTGAGTAAAAGACTCTGGGCCACATTGTTAGCTAGCCAGGATCCTCACTGTTGTTAGTGTGTGCATCGTGCAGAAGAATACGATGTATGGAGCAGAAGAACAGTGCAGTTCCACCCATGAGTGACACGCTTTAGGGAGCGCTTGCACACACCCTTACGAAATGGGCGGGAGAAAGCGGGAGACCTTCACTGCAGCCTTTCCCTCGCTTTTGGGGTGGTTCCTTTCAGACCAATGTTCAGCTTTGAATTCACTTATCTTTCCAGCCATGCCTTCTATAAAGAACAGGAGCAGTCAGTAGTCTGTGTCCAGGGTTAAGAAAGAGAATTGCCAGGTCTCCCATAGAAATTCGATTCTGGCAACCAAATACCTCAGTGAAGGCATAATAACCTCATTCTCCCATATTAGCCTGCCCAGGTTTCAAGAACCGTGAGAGGGATCTTTCCCAAAGAGCCTTCTTGGGGGCTGCTTTCAGGCCCCTGAACTCCCTGCAAAGCCAGCTCTGTTTTCACTGTCCTTCTGCTGGCAGAGTTACTGTTATACATTCTTCAGTAAGGAACTGTAAATGGGCACACTGCTGGCCTGTACAAATGCCACCAAGGTGGTGAACGATAATAGAATATGTCCAGAAGCAAAGAACTGACCCATACCTCTTTGGTCCCCAACTATGCATCTCTATGGAAGAGAATGACAACAGGCTAGGTAGAACTGGAAGTACATCTTCTGAAGAATCAACAGGGCCTTTTTTAGTATAAAGGCAAGCACCCCAACTGAGGTTTTATGAAGCTATTCTGTTAGCTGCATGAGGATCAGTAGCAAGTCACCGGTGCCAAGGAGTTACTGTCTATTTCACAGCCCGCTGTCTCAGGCTACTTCTTGGCTAAATTTATATGAGCAAGGGATCAGATGCAAGCCCAGGAGGACCTTAACTCCATCCTGCCCTCCATCCACTTTATACTTAGCCTCACCCAGAGAGAGAGGAAATTCAGGAATGTTTCTACATTCCTTGTAACTCTTGCACCATTCTGAACAGTCTGAAAGGAACATTATCTGAAAACTTGAGTATTCCACAAAACCATTGGCTCTAAGCTGAAGCACACAGGTAACCATCTGTTTGTATATGGGACTTACTCTGCTTTGCCCATCTTGTTTCTGCATTGCTTCTTCCCTCCCTCCTCAAAGTTTAGGTTGCAAGCTCCTACAGGCAGCATCCTATGCTTCTCCTAGAGCATTCTGTAAGGAGAAAAGGCTGGCAGGGATGGGGAAAAGGTTTCACCCACATCCTTTGCAGCCTACTGTCACAAACCTGGGGGCACACCCCAAGAGGAGACTTAGTGGGCTCTGAGAGCATCTGCTTAAGGTTGTACCGTACCTTCCCACAGATGGCTTTAACAGAATGAATCAGATTAAATGCAAGTTTATCTGTTTCATGCCAGCCGACAGTACCCCCGTTCTGTATTATTTCCTACATTTTGGCCCCAGGTTTCTCCCAAGGAACTCCAGGGAGCACACACAAGTCCCTTTCCCCACTCTTTGACTATATTTGCACATTAATCCTGCAAAGCAGCTCAAACTGAGAAAGGGCGGGTTTGACTAGCCCCAAACCTACTCAGCGCTCTTCATCGAAAGAGAAAATCTGAGTCCACGTCCTCCTCTGATGCACAGCTCCAACTCGCGCTGGATCTCAGTGAACGTACCCTAAACCTCAGCTGCTATCAGAAAAAAAGGCTAGCCTTTTTTCAAGGGTAGAAATCCCCACCACTGATGTGCAGCAACTGGGCATGCAAGGTAACGGGCTCGTCTTTCCCCAGCCTGCTGCACTCCAGGTGTGTTGGCCCACAGCACGCATCATCCCCAGCTAACAGCAGTACTAACTAAATGCCTATACTGCCCAGCAGCCAAAGATCTCAGGGCGGTTCACAACCCGGCCTTCCCATCTCTACCTGTTCTCGCTCCCCCTCGGCCCTGAAATCCACGGGGTGGCCTTGGGCCGGCGCTGCCTCGCGGGCCGGCCTACCTCACAGGGCTGTTGCTGGAGGCTAAAAGAGCCGCCCGGGGTTCCTTGCGGGAACAAGGCAGGCCCAGCCCGTAGCCAGTTCCCCCCGTTCGATGCCCGCTGGGCACAGGCCCGCCCTCCAGAGGGGCTGGGCTGCAGCCCCCGTCGCCGCGCCGGCAAGCGGCCGAGGCGGCAGCCCGGCGCTTCTGGGGCCCGGCCGGAGAAGGCCCCGGAGCCGCCCGCCCGCCCGCCCGCCAGCCCGCCCGCCAGCCACGCCACGCCACGCCACGCACTCGCATGCGGAGCTCGTAGCTCGTGTAGCGGGCGCGCCCGACGCCCACGGTCTGCGGGTTGAAGATGTCGATCTCCAGGAAGTTGCTGGGCGGCCCGTAGGCGTCGGTCAGGTCCTGCGGCTTCGAGTTGAGGCGCCGCGTGTCCGCCACCGCCGCCTCGCTCATGGCGCGCAGCCGTCCGGGCGCGGCGCGGCGCGGCGCGGCGGGCAAGGCGGGGAAGGCGAGTCTCGGTCAGCGCCGCCTGCGCGCAGCCCGCCCTCCTGCTGCCGGGGCCGCCGCCGCCGCCGCCGCCTTCTCCTCGGCGCC